TTCTACAATCAGGTCCTGGCCTAGTTTTCACAGCTGATACTGAGCTTGTCCAGCAGTTTTTTTCCACAGATGCAATCAATATTATTCCTATGCATACCATCAGGTGAAATCCATGTGTATAACCTATGTTTATGTTTCTTATAAAACGTATTTTCAATGAATAAGTCATTGATTGTACAAAATTAAATCATTTTATCTCTAGCTTCATTTCTGTCACCAAGTCCATGTTTTCCAACTACTGATTCTTCTTCTCTCTTCCCAACTTTTACGTTCCAGTCACCCATTATTATCAATGCATCTTGATTGCATGTTCAATCAATCTCCAACTGTAAACTTTGGTAGAAATCATCTATTTCTTCTTCTTTGGCTCTGGTTGTTGGTGCATATATCTGAATGATAGTGGTATTCACTGGACTTCCTTGTAAGCGTGTGGATATAATTCTGTCACTCACAATATTGTACTTCAAGATGGATCTAGAAATTACTTTTTTAACTATGAAAGTAACCCCATTTTTCTCACCTTTTCATCTCCAGAGTAGTATATAATATCCACCCTCCACCAGGATACCCCTTCACTTCTACCAAATCACTTCAGAATTTATCTTCCATTTTCCAACCCTTGATCTGACAGCTTGTATCTGAAGCTTTCTTGGCTTCTGTGATTTGAAACACGCCGACTCCTGACAATTTTTTATGCTGTGACCAGTGTCTTTTAGGTTAGCAAAAAAAAAAAATCACCTCATTGTTGTCCAGTCAGAAACAACTCATAGCTGACCCTCCGGTGGGTTTTCAGAGGTAGATAACATGGGAGAATATGGCTTATCTTTCTCCTGTGGAGCAGCTTGTGGATTCAAACCATCTACCTTTGGATTGGACATGTAACTCTTTATCCATTATGCTCTCAAAGCTCACTTAGGTAGGGGGGCAGGGGAGAGGGCTGGGCAGGGAGAAAGGTGCAACATGAAGGAATGGAAATCCAAAATCTCTGTAAATGTTCATTAAAATTATTAAAATAATAAATCAATAAATCACAAATAAAAAAATTAAGACTGGCAAAAAAAATCTCACTTAGGTAAAGTTCAAACCATTTGTGTCACCCAGGGATTTTCTACAAACTATATATATATTTATTTGTTAGTTTATCATAAATTATTTTATTATGGGTCCTATGTTTATCAGAAGTTACCTGGTTTGTGGGTCTGTAAGTCCTTTTCTATTTTGTTTATACCCATCTGGCTGAAAAAAAAGGTATCAATCATATTTATATGATACAGGCCATGGTTTTTGCAATCACTT